CAGAGATGATGCATGTGAGCCTACTTGTGCTCAGCTCACTCTCTGTGCTCACACAGTGCAGGATCTCCTGCCTAGGGAATGGTGCCGCCCACAGTGGAGTGGGCCTTCCCAAGTCACTGAACACACAAGCAAGACAATACTCCCATAGACATGACCACAGGCCGTGGGGTCTCTGCAGTCCTTCACTGGCCTCTCTGTGCAGATAATCACAGGTTGTATCAAGGTGACAAACTACCTGTCACGCTATCTAAACCATAATTTTAACTTTTAATAAACACAACCAGGCATTTCCTCTTTATCTGCAATAATGTAGCTTCTCTTTCTATGTATATAATAACTTTATATATTGATAAAATATAGTGTGATAATAATGCATACATACAATGTGTAATGATCGATCGAGATAATGCTGTTTCATTCCCATTTCCATAAATACTTGAAGTTCTCACTTAAAAAAAACCACAGAGTTGAATTGCAGCTAGTCCCAGTTTTTTAAATTTGAATTCTGTGCAGCATACTCCAGGTAAATAAAGAATTTTGATGTTCTTCAATAAATATCACACAGTGGTGTGTGTATGTGTACAAATATTCAGGTAAGATTGATAGGGGGGATTATACATATCATCTATCTTAGTCAGGGTCCTGCTGCTGTGAAGAGAAATCATGACCATGGGAACTCTTATATATTGTTATATAATATATATATTAACAGTAGACATGTCAGAGGAACAGCAGATGACAACTGAGGTTCGAGATGTCAGTCAAGCAAGAGGAAAATCTCTGATGAATCAATCTCATTTAGGCCAGGGGATGACAGACTCCAAAATATCTCTAGCTTCTGCTGTACTTTTACATGTTGTTCTCTGGTATCTGATATTATATATAATATATATCATATATGAGGAAATGTGTATAAATATATGTATATATACGTGTGTGTGTGTGTGTGTGTGTGTGTGTGTGTGTGTGTGTGTGTGAAGAGTCCCCCGCTACCTGTATTGTAGTGTGTTTATCTCATGAAAACATCCTGATCTTGGACACTAATATCTGCGGATTGTCAGAAGATGACTCCTCCTTAAGCTGTATAATTCTGATGAACAAAAATGATTACAAGGATATGCTGCACGGTCACTAGAAGCTGCTTCTGTTCTCAATCAAATTCATGATAACTGGGAGCCAGAATGGCTCGAGTACCTTTACTCTTATGTGTGAACTCCACTGGCTGACATAAAGCTTCAAAGGAGCTTTGAGTTAGACCAGAGGCCTTGTGAATGGGTTTTAAGACAAACATTCCCAATCTTCAGTAGTTCACAATGACAAACAACTGTACTGTCCGGCTAGGTTGGAAATACAAAAAAAAAAAAAAGCTCAATTATTGCTAGCTGCAAATGATTAAGTCCTTGCACACATTGCTAACCTAAATTTGTGAAAACAGACTCTGACTAGTCAAGGCTAAGAAAATGATTTGACTCTGTAGCCCAAAAGAGGGCTGCAGGTGTTCTTGGATAATTAGAAGTTACACACAGGCAGAAAATACACTTTAGTTTTAGGTGTTATGGGCATAGTATCATGGAAAGTGTGGGCTGAGCTGATATTAAAATATATACAGTAACCCAGGTCTGTACTAGAAAAACTATGGCCGGGCAGTGGTGGCGCACGCCTTTAATCCCAGTACTCGGGAGGCAGAGGCAGGCGGATCTCTGTGAGTTCCAGCTAAGGAGAAACCCTGTCTCGAAAATCAAAAAAAGAAAGAAAGAAAGAAAGAAAGAAAGGAAGGAAGAAAGATAAAGAAAAACTAAGGCATCTCCCATCGCCCCTGCATCTCCATGCCCTGGGACTCACAATCTCCAGAGCACCTCAGAGATCCAAAGTAAAAATGAAATTTACAACTTCTGATTCCAGAGTGTTAGTGAAAAATGTTTACATAGCCATGGGTTCTATAATAATTCGGTTAATAATGGAACACAGCCCTTCTGTGAGCCCTGGACTGGCTGAGAGAAACTGTTGGGATATGTAAGCTGTAAAAAGGCACGGGGGACAGAACAATGAAGTAGTACATGAGAGAACGGCAGGGTGAGAATAAAGAGAGCCTGTGAGTGTTCTTCCCTCCCTAACCCTCAGACAGAGAAGTCCTGGCTTCCCCATGCTGTGGATTCCCTTTGAGCCCTGAGTACTGCCTTAGAGAGTGGACCTCTGAGGCAGGATAATATTCACACTCATATTCTGCAGGGTTAATTAAGGTTGGGGAGAAAGTTTAAAAATTTACTGGAATTTCTGTTTCCATCGCCACCTAGTGGTTACAAAGGGCACTAAGGCAGGAAGATCAAGTTCAAGGCCAACCTGGGCTGTAAAATGAGTTCAAGGCCACTGAGGTGGACTTAGTGAGACCCTGCTTCAAAATTTAAGTCAAATAAAAAGCCCAAGTGGGCTAGGGATGGAGCTCAGGGGGAAGTACAGCAGCCACAAGGTCCCTGGCTTCACTCTTTAGCACTAAGAAGAAACAAGCAGGAAGTCGTACTGCTGCAGTTTGGTTGATTTTGTCAACTAATTCCAGGACTTAAATATTTAGATGTAAGCCTACCAGAGCACCCACAACTGTGTACAGTGAAAACTACACACTAATTAAATAAGTCAAAGGGTGCTGGAGAGATGGCTCAGTGGTTAAGAGCACTGGCTGCTCTTCCAGAGGACCCGGGTTCAGTGTCAGCACCCATAGGTGGCTCACAACTTAACTCCAGTTCCAGAGCACTGACGCCCTCTTCTGGCCTCTACAGACACTGCGCCCACATGCAGGTGAACATTCACACACAAAATAATCTAATCAATTAAAAAATGACAACAAATGAAGAAACATACTGTCTGTGAGCTAGAAGAGTTAGCACAGTAAAGACAGGCATGGTCTTCAAACCCGTCACCATCTTTGCAAACACAGAACAAGGCAAGAAATTGGAATAGCTGAAACTGTCTTGAAAAGAATAGAGACTGGAAATCCGTCTGCCAATGTTAAGGCTTACACAGCTTCAGAAATGAAGATGTGTGTCACTGGCGAAGAAATAGGATCACATCAACAGAGCAGAATAACCCAGATGAAGGCCAACTCAGTATTTCCAATTAGTGCATTGTGTGTGTGTGTGTGTGGATATGTGGATGTATGTGAGTATTTATGTGTGTGTACGTGTGCATATGTGTACATATGTGTTATGTCTGTGTGCAGGTTGTATGTGTGTAGGGATGCGTGTGTATATCTATGTGTGTGTGCACTCATGCATGTGCATGTGTGTGTATGCATGCATGTGTGTGCATTCATGCATGTGTATGTGTGTGTATGCATGCATGTGTGTGCATTCATGCATGTGCATGTGTGTATGTGTGTGTATGCATGCATGTGTATGTGTATGTGTGTGTGTGTGTGTGTGTGTGTGTAGTGCACATATGCCACCATGCTGTATCAGAGGTCAGAGACCACTGTAGGGATTAGTTCTCCTGCTACTCTTTGGTTCTCTGGGAATCAAACTCAGTTGCCAGGCTGGGCTCAAGCATCTTTACCCATTCAGCCATCTTGCGGCTCCTAAATAATTTTTGATGAAAATGTGAAAAGTTATAAAGAAGGCAGAGTTTTCAACACACAGTGCTGAAGGAATTAAACACCTGTAGGTAAAAGAAAGTCCATGCCTGGTGGCAATGCCGATAAACCTACCATGTGGGAGGTGGAAACAGGAGGGTCGGGAGTTCGGGACCAGCTTCAGCTACACAGTGAGTGATGCTGAGGCCAGCCTGGGATATCAGAGATTTTGTCAAGAAACCCTACAGGCAAACAGCTTTACATTTCATATTTTAAACTACCTTAGAATGAATATAGACTAAAGCAGACAACATAAAATTATAAAACTTTTAAAGGAGAAGTCATCAGGCAGGAATACCCAAAGAGGAAAATTTGTGAGAAACAAAACCAAAGCTGAACCAGGAAGGAGTAGAAAGAAGAACGGAAGTGAAGGTGGGAACAGCCCGGTTTTTCCCGTGCGGAGCTGGCGTCTTTTGGGCTCTGCAGCAGAGCACAGGAGGCCGCACACTGTCCTCAGAAAAGGAAAGGAAAACAGTTTTATATTAAACATAAGAAATCGAATAATGCTCAGGCTTTAGGTACTTCAAACAGTTCATGCTCTTTATTGCAATGTAGAACAAATTCTGAGACCATTTAAGAAAGAATAATATTCCTTCTGGTGCTTGAAAAGGCACCAGAAAAATTACCCGCCAACTAAACTATAATTGATTTTAAAGCAAGCTAAAGTCATGAAGAAAGTGTTGATCAAGCCATCTAAAATCCCGAATGGATGGGAGGGACTCACAAGTCCCACCCTTAGCTGAGGAGCTGCTGCAGGCAGTTGACGGCTGCTGGGGTTGGAGAGTCCATGTTCTTCAAGGGTGCAGCCCCTGACAGGTCGCTCACACTTGGCAGATGGACCTGCTCCTGTGTGCATCTGGGCGGGGCTAAGCTGACTCAGTGAATTAAAGCAATAAAAGCAATGAGAGGGAAATGTGCTGGGGAGGAGAAACTGGAAGAGAGGGGATGGGCTGGATTTGAGGGAAACAAATAATAGGCATGTATGAGATTCACAATAATTAATGGAGAACAAAATGATGGTCTGTTGAAGGGAACGAGCTGTTCCACTCACAACTCCAGCCTTCCCACCTGCATAGAACAGGAACACTCCCGATTTTGTCAAATTGAAAAACAATTAACAGGTGTCAGGAATTCGCCAAACCAGTGGACTTCATTACTCCACTAAGATCACTACTGAGTGAAGCTAGTTCTTTGATTTAGAAGCACACAGCAATGAACACAATGGCGGCTCTGGTGCAGGCTGGAATCACTGCAAGACACACAAAGTTTACCATCGTAGACTTGGAACTTCTAGTGCAAATAACCAGGAATAGAGAAAACAATACACAATAAATAAATGAAGAAAGAATCCTAGAACTGGACTGTCACAATTTACCAATCAGCGATAAGTTAACAGACCTGGGCGATTAGCATCAATGGTTATGGTAACACCTTGAAAAGAGAAATGAGATAAAATGTGACTCCAGATAAAGGCGTCGCCTCCTATAGAAGCCAAAAGGACCAAACCAGAGTCTGACCCCTGCCTCTGCATCAGACTTACAGAAAACATAAAGGACAAAGGAGTGTGTTAGATGGGCCATGAGTGTGCAGGCCACAAACTCCAAGTGTGGGAAACTCTTCACCATGGGTGACTCAGGCTTCCCAATAAGTTTAATCATAACAGAAAGAAGGGATAAAATAAAATGTCTGGAGGTCTAAGACACAAGAAAGCAAAGGAGTGTGGTACTCAGATGTACACTTGGCTAAAGAGGCTGTTAAATAACCCCACAGTATAGTGTGTGCCTGCAGGGGTTTGTTGGCCAAGGCAGATGATGAATTTTTCAGAGACTACCAAGGTCTGTGTCCTGCTGAGTTGGTAATTACAAGGGCTTTGTCTTAAATAAGTCACTGAATTAAACGTTCACTACAGTTATCTGTGCCTGTTTTGTTTTACAATGCAAGGGATTTGAAACTGACCGTCTGGAAGACTGGAAGCCATGGCTGGAAGACAGAAAGACTGGGGTCCCCACTCACAGAGTTAGAGTCTGACCACAGAGACTAAAACAACTCAGGACCATAATGAATTAGGTCCTAAGGGAATCTCTGGACAGTGTCCCGGAATGGGGACTGCTGAGTGCAGACAGGAGGGAGAAGGACCGAACGGGAAGATACACGCCACATCTCATGTCTCTAGAGCCAGGGTTCTTTACCCGCCCCAGGGTCCTTGATTTTGACATTCCTTCAGGCTCTGGGGGAGAAGTGTCCATTAGGATCTTACTGGAGATGAGGTGGAGAAGGTCTTGAGACCTGCAGAAACAATGGGGGGGGGGTTCTCAGAGGCTTCCCACTCTCCCATCCCAGAGACTCAGGAGACAACCACCCAGCCAGAGGCCTCCTTCATCCCATGATGTCTCACTCTGGCCAGAGAACCAGGCAATGATCTGTCAGTCAAAGACAAGGAACTGGAGCACTTACCTCATCGCCTGACCAGGTCTCCACAGATGCTGGAAAGAGAGAATGGGATCCCCAGTCAGGATCAAATGGGATTTTCCTGAACGGGTGGCCTGCAATGCCACTGTCTCTGCCTACCCCTTGGGGGTGCAATGCCAGCACTCATCTCTCCTTATCCCTGGGGGAGGGTGCAATGCCTACACTCCTCTCTGCTTCCCCCCCACACACACACAAGGCTCCCCTGGCCTTAGAAAACACTATCACAGTGATCCCAAGCACAACCAGCCTTCCCTCACTCGGATCTGTACAGTAACGGAAGTACAGGGCACGCAGAAAGGTTCTCACGGGTATGCTACCTTTGTGAGCCTTGACGTGGATAACAACCCCCACCAGGAAGACGATTAGCCCAGTCAGGAACGCTGCGCCTCCACTCAGTATCTTTTTCCACGAATATTCAGACTGAGCCACTGTGGGAAACAAGATTTAAAGTCAAGGTAATGTTCAATGTTCCCAATACTGAATGGAACTACTTTGTGTTGTTGCTATTAATTGTTTTGTTTTGCTTTGCTTTTAGAGACAGCATTTCTCTGTGTAGCTCTGGCTGCCCTAGAACTCACTCTGTAGACTAGGCTGGCCTCGAACTCAGAGACCCTCCTGCCTTTGCCTCCTGAGTGCTGGGATTAACACCATGATTCACCACTGCTCAGCTGAATACAACTTTTTAAAACCCCAAAGCCTATACTGAACCCCATCCAGTACTGCTCAGGGAAGAGTCAAGTCTAAAAATGGAGCTGCTTCCCATCTGTCACTGATTCTCTCTCTCTCTCTCTCTCTCTCTCTGTCTCTCTCTCTCTCTCTCTCTCTCTCTCTCTGTGTGTGTGTGTGTGTGTGTGTGTGTGTGTGTGTGTGCCTCATCCTCAGCTCCATCCACCTTTGCTGATGCTGCTGTAGTTGTTTTTGCACTGGGTCCCTCATTGGCCTGGGACTCACTAGGCAGGCTAGGCTGGGAGCCCATGAGCCCCAGAGTCTGCCTGCCTCCACCTCCCTGGCCCTGGGACTACAAGTAGGCACCAGAACTCCTGGGGATCAACCTCAGGTCCTCAGGCTTAGGTATGACAAGCACTTTACCAACTGAGCCACTTCTCCAGCCCTGTCCCTGGCTTAGAGCCCATGACAGTGTCCCTAACAACAAAAGCAAAGTGTGATAAAGGATCCTAGGTCCCAGAATAGGAGACAAGTGCTGAGTTAAGAGCCTCCTTGTCTCTCGGACAGTCTGAAGATGGATGTCGGCCATGTTCTCTCCTACCCCGACCCTAAAATTCACAGATCAAGATGAACACAGAAGTGACACCAGCCCTACCAATCAAGCCCCAGAAATACAGAAAAACCACTAAATAAAGCTCACCCCACTCCACAGAAACAGGGCTCTGGAGGCTGGGATGCTCCACGAGGCAGCTGTAGACGTCCCCAAGCTCCGGGGTCATTTCCAGCGTCACTGTCATCTGGAAGGTCCAGTCTCCATTCCTAACAAGGCCAGTGGACATGACCCCAGACCTCTGCTCCTGTCCGTTCCGAAACCACCTAACGTTTATGTCCCCGGGATAGAAGCCTGTCACAGAGCAGAGCAGCAGGTTGTGTTGCTGCAGCAGCGGGGTCCTCTCTGGGCTCACTGTCACCTCCGGGGGCACTGGCAGGAGAGAAGAAAGGGCTCACAAGGACAAGAGCTTCTATAGGGCTGTGTTCACCCTTGATCCGTGGCCCAGGTGAGCTAAGTAGAAGCTGGAAGTGCAAGAAAGTTGACGAGATGGCTCAGCAAATAAGGGTGCCAGCCACTAAGGCTGAGGACCCGAGTCCAGTCTCTAGGACCCACACAATGGAAGGAGAGAACAAGCTGCCTCAAGATGTCCCCTGACTGCCACGTGTGCACTGTGACATGCATGGAACACACACACACACACAAACTATAAATAAATAAGTGTAATTTAAAACAGTTTAAGTACCCCTCATAAGAAAGGTTCCCATGGAGACCCCCGCTAGCCCCGCCTTCACGCACCATTCCTCCCCACAGTGAAGGGGGCCCCCAGCTTGTAGTTCTGCCTGCAGACCATGTTCACAGACGCTCTGCTCTGCTCCACGAGGTCCCAGCGTTTGTTCCACTGCTCAGCATCAGGCTCCCCCAGCTCCGTCAGTGCCACAAACATCCCCAGGTCACTGTCGAAATGTAAATACTCCTCCAGGTTGAAGATGAACCTGACCACGAAGCGCACTTTGTCTGTCCCGTTGGTGAAGTAACAGTCCGCCTTCGCCTGAATCACAAAATCCTCTGGAAACCACAGAAGGGTTAGGAACCAGCTGCAGCTCCGGGAAAGCCCTGCCTGCTGCACCAGTGCAGCTCCAGGAAAGTCTGTACCTGCTATACCAGTGCAGCTCTGAGAAAGCCTTGCCTGCTGCACCAGTGCAGGTCCGAAAAAGTCTGTACCTGCTACACCAGTGCAGCTCTGGGAAAGCCTTGCCTGGGACACCAGTGCAGCTCTGGGAAAGCCTTGCCTGCTGCACCAGTGCAGCTCCAGGAAAGCCTGTACCTGCTGCACCAGTGCAGGTTCGAAAAAGTCTGTACCTGCTACACCAGTGCAGCTCCGGGAAAGTCTGTACCTGCTACACCAATGCAGCTCTGGGAAAGCCTTGCCTGGGACACCAAGTCAGAGGTGCAGATTTGACAGTCATTTTGCCTGCACCATGCCCAAAAACACAACGTTAAGAGATGAGAACACCGAATGTCTTCGATTCTCAATGGCATTTATCAGAACTGTGAAATCTACAGGGAGAACAATTCTCAGCAGTGAGTTCTCTTCTGTCTAACACGTGGGTCCCGGGGATTGGACTCAGGTTGTCAAGGCTGCCGGCGTACGGCTTTACCAACTGAGCCATCTTGGACACATTTTAAATTTCTGAACACTACGTTCATGTTTAAAACACACTTGGAATGGTATCCATGGAGAGGAAAGAGGAGAAAGGAAGCAGGAAGAAGAGAAAGACTCCTTGTAATGACAGCGTGCTGTGACTCAGCTCTGCACACTCGAGAGTGATACTGCAGGCAGGTCACAAGAGCTCCACGAATCGGCTCTGAGCTAAGACTCCAAGGATAACAGCTGTTGTGCTGGATCTGTGGTCTGCTCACTGCTGAGCTCAGCAGCCTCCTCCAGGGAGGTCCCGCCTCCACCAGGGAGGCCCAGTCTCCCCCAGAGAGGCCCCGCCTCCACCCAGAATGACCTGAATGGCCATCCAGGCTCCTCTGTCTTGGTCACTGAGTTCAGGTGACCTGCCATCCTCCAGTCCCTCAGCGTTTCTCCCATTCTCCATTCCCTCGCACAAGCCAAAGAAGAAAAAAAATGTGGATTATTTCATCCTTTAAAATCTATGCTGAAGCTGTGCAGTGGTGGCACACACCTTTATTCCCAGCTCTTGGGAGGCAGAGGGAGGAGGAACTGTGAGTTCGAGGCCAGCCTGGTCTACAGAGTGAGTTCCAATAGAGCCAGAGCTGTTACACAGGAACCCCTGTCTAAGAAACAAACAAGCAGAAACAAAAACAAAACAAAAAAGCAACTCTATGATTTTTTTCATTTGTCAAATAGACACGGTGAACTCAGAGCGGTTTTTTTTTGTTTGGTTTTGTGTGTGTGTGTGTGTGTGTGTGTGTGTGTGTGTGTGTGTTTGTTCTCAGAGAATAGCAATGCTCCCTCCCCAAGGCTTGTTCCTCTTCTGTATTGGTTGAGACCCTGACATTAAAGGGAAATCTTTTCTTAGCATATCACATCCTGTTTTCTGCTCATAACCCCGCATCATCATGGTCTAACAATGTTCATATTTGCACAGCCTGCCTCCCAGGCTAGAAAACAAACTGCACACAGTAACCTAAGACCAAAGATGATTAGCATATTCAACTTGTCTCTTACACCTCAGAACTGTCAGCACAGTGCTGAACACTTCCATTGGGTTTAATAGAGGACAGAGGAGGGTTTCTCCAGGTCCCCAGATAAACAGAAAGTCAGAACAGCATGGACTCTTGTTTAGGAGACTCAGCGGTTCGCAGACTCTGGCTTTCACGGTTCTAGGGTCTGATATTGATACATAAGGAACCCAATAAGGAAAAAGGTCTCCGTCTTCCTTCCTACAACCCCTGGCATCTGTGACTCAGGTACTGGAATCCCTTTCCAGGCAGCTCATTGTCTGTGGTGAGGAGGGCATGAGGGTTTCCTGGTCAGCAGGAGGACCGCTGCTCTTTCAGACAGAGCCACTCTATCCTGAGACTTTGCTCTATGGGGGAGACTAACCCCCACACCAAACACACCCAGACACAAATCTCTTTCTTACCTGGGGAGTCTCTGCCTTCAGACATGAAGGAAGCCGGCCTCATGGTGCTCACTAGGAGAGGCACCACCCAGAGGGCCCTCCCAGCACCCATTCTGGCGGGACAGGAGACAGGAAAGAGGCTGGTGAGCCTCTTCAGAATGGGCTGTCTTCCACACAACTGAAAGAAAATCACAAAGCATAGATAACTCTCCAGCCTCCCCGAGATTGGGACCATCTTCACACTGCTAACCAATCAGGACTGGAGACTTTGCATCATTTGTTGCTAGGCAGATGCAACTTTGATAAAGTTGCATTGGTAGAGTCAAGAACTGGTTACCTGGAGATCAGTGTCCAAGGTTTAGGTCAGGAGGCAGGAAGTCTACAGAGTCTGAGGTCCTAGAACAAAACAGGTTGTCTATTGTGCATCCTGTGTCCTCATTACAGGGTCCCTGAATTATTCAGACCAGGAGGTCTCCCCTCCTACAGGGTGGCTGACATCTGAACTATTCTGACCAGGAGGTCTCCCTCCTACAGGGTGGCTGATGTCAACAGCAGAGGGTGCTGAACTAAGAAGTAGATGGTTTTGTGGATGTGGCTTAAAAGGAGTCAGTGGCAGGCTCGTCACAAAACAGGAGACAGAGTGCACTGTGTCCTCTACAAGCAAGAAAGGGGGAGGAGACTGAGACAGGACAGACAGGGAGACAGAATTCTCAAAGGAATAAAACCATGCAAATATATTCATAAGAACAGAGTATAAGGAAGCACTGGGGGGGCCAGGTCAGCAAGATGGAAGGATGGGGTTCTATAGAACACACTGGCTAGCAGGACTACCAGTTCATGGGTTCAGTGACAGCCTGGGCTGCAGAGTAAGTCCTGGTCTCAAAATAATAATAATAAATTAATAATAAAAATAGTCAGTGATGGTGATGATGATTGACAAAAGTTTCAATGGTTCTAATACTGTGCTGAAAACTGCGTGGGGAGAGAAGTGGAAACGGATCCACCTCTGCCGCCTCAGTCAGCCTCTGTGGCTGTGGTGAGCACCAGGGACACAGCCTCTTGAGGAGGAAGGGGCTTATTTCACCCACAGCTTATGGTCCATCACTGAGGGAAGCTGGGGCAGAACTCAGGGAGGAGCCTGGAGGCAGAGCTGAGGCAGAGGCAAAGGAGGATCTCTGCTTGCTCACTGGCTCCTCATGGCTTGCTCATCCTGCTTTCTTACAGAACCCAGGACAACCAGCCCAGGGATGGCCCCACCCTCAGTGGGCTGGCCTTTCCACATCAACTATCAAGTAAATAAAAAAATGTCCTACAGACTTGTGTCAAGCTGACAGACAGGCTCTCACTTGCATGCTCATGCAAACACACACACACACCTGACCAGTACACCCAAAAAGGAATTTAAAGATGTGTATATTATGCAAAGAATTTTATCCTATTGGCATGTTTATATATGCATTTTAGCACCTAAACAAGGCATTGTGGGCAATGGCAAAAGATTTGTAATCCCATCACCAAGCCATTCACTTGTTCATATGATCCAGAGGGTGATCTACAGTAGCTGAGCTTCCCATTTCAAAATGGGAGAGTTTATTAAACATACAGCAAGCAAAATGAATAGAATAAATAGCCAGTAGCAGACAGAAAGGGCAGATAAAGCACAACACCATCTATCGAGTGTTCCGCACACCCAGCAGAGAGGACTAGCGCAGATAATAACACAACACCATCTATCGAGTGTTCCAGACAGCCAGCAGAGAGGACTAGCGCAGATGATAACACAACATCATCTATCCAGTGTTCCATACACCCAGCAGAGAGGACTAGCACAGATGATAACACAACACCATCTATCCAGTGTTCCATACACCCAGCAGAGAGGACTAGCACAGATGATAACACAACACCATCTATCGAGTGTTCCAGACAGCCAGCAGAGAGGACTAGCGCAGATGATAACACAACACCATCTATCCAGTGTTCCATACACCCAGCAGAGAGGACTAGCACAGATGATAACACAACACCATCTATCCAGTGTTCCATACACCCAGCAGAGAGGACTAGCACAGATGATAACACAACACCATCTATCCAGTTTTCCGCACACCCTGCAGAGAGGACTAGCATTGCCAACTGAGAGCAAGCAAAGAGAGCACACCAAGCAGGTTCCCAAGAGAAATCAGCTGGGGAATTGCACTGAGGAAGTCAGCTGTGTTCCCGTGGGTGGGGAGAGTCCTAGCTGAGTGGCCCTGAGGCAGTCAGCTGGAAACTGGATCAAGAGAGCCCAAGGTGGAGAATTCTTCCTCTTCCTGTAAAGTTTCTGACTTCCCAGCCCCGCCACAGGCATCATCGTATTATGTGATAAACAGTAAAAACCTCAGTTAGAAATGACTCAGCTTCCAGCTGTTCTCTAATGCCCTCGGCTCTTTGCTGTCTTCCTTTCTCCCTGGGTCAGGCTGACCTCCAGGAATTTTGGAAGAGAAGGGGAGGGGCCTCCTCACTCCCAGAGTCCACTTCCAGCCTTTGGGAGTTCACCAATGTCACGTGTACTGTATCACTGACATGCATGTCCATGAACTAGCGTCTCCCACAGCTACAACTCTCAGTGTAAAACATAAATTTCAGAAAACCAGATTTAGAGAGCTGCTATTTGGAAAATGTGAAACAGGAGTACATAAACTTCTATATCCCAGTGGTGTAGGAGGTCCTTCTGTCTGTGTGTTGCTTTTATTGGTTAATGAATAAAGAACTGCTTTGAGCCTATGGCAGGGAAGAACAGAACTAGGTGGGGAAAGCTAGGCTAGGAGACAGCGCATGCTGGGAGGAAAAAGGGTGAAATTAGAGAGACGCCATGTAGCCCCACCGAAGACAGATGCTGGAACCTTAGCAGGTAAGCCAGAGCCACATAGCCATACACAGATAATAGAAATGGGTTAAATTAATATGTAAGAGTTAGCCAATAAGAAGCTAGAGCTAATGGGCCAAGCAGTGATTTAATTAATACAGTTTTGTGTGGTTATTTCGGGGCTAAGCAGCCAGGAACCAACAAGCAGCTCTCTCATTACTACATCCCAGATTTCTATTGCCGAGATAAATGCCATGGCCAAAAAGCAAGTGGGGAGGAAAGTGTTGTTTGGCTTACAAACCTCCATTACAATGCCATCTTAGAGGGAGGCCAAGGCAGGAACCTGGAGGCGGGAACTGAAGCAGAGGCCGTGGAGGAACACTGCTTACTGGCTTGCTCTGCCTGATTTCCTATATAACCATGAACCACCTGCCAAGGGATGGCCCCTACCACCGTGAGCGGAGCCCTCCCACATCAATCAAGAAAATGTACTACACGCTTGCTCAAGGCCAGTCTGGTGGGGACATTTTCACAATTGAGGTTCCCTCTCCCTCAACAAAACCAACCAGGGAAGGTGGGCTGGAGAGATGGCTCAGTGGTTAAGAGGTCCTGAGTTCAATTCCCAGCAACCACATGGTGGCTCACAGCCATCTGTAATGTGATCTGGTGCCCTCTTCTGGCATGCAGGTGTACATGGAGATAGAGCACCATATACATAAATTAAATTTTAAAAAAACTTTTAAAAAGTGGGGGACAACACACTCACTTAAATGTAGGTTAAATCTCTCCAGAATGAGAACCCTAAAGTTGAGAACCGGATCTTCTGGCCAGTCAGGGCGTGACGGAGGGAAGCTGTGTTAATATATTACACATTCATACATTTTATTTTTTTTTAGATTTATTTATTTATTATGTACATGGTGTTCAGCCTCCATGTATGCCCTCAGGCCAGAAGAGGGCACCAGATCTCATTACAGATGGTTGTCAGCCACCATGTGGTTGCTGGGAATCGAACTCAGGACCTCCGGAATAGCAGTCAGTGCTCTTAACCTCTGAGCCATCCCGCCAGCCCACATTCATACATTTTAAAATGCTGCGGGAAGGTTACAGCTAACACCTACCCACCTGCTGGGGCGTGGCCTCATGGACTATTTACCTGGATGCGGAAATGCATCCAGCCCCTTTCTCGTCCTCTCTGCCTTCCCCCCCTGGACCCTGGTTTTACCGGTTCAGTTTGTTTGAATCTCATCTTTATGCATCGTTCCCGCAGAGAATCCTGATTTGTAGGTTTTATCTATTAATAAATACCTGTATATTTCTTAGTTCTGAGCTACTGTGGGATTCCTTTCGTTAAGCGTCTGATCTCCGCCTCCATTAAAAGAAGAATCGTGAGAGAATAAATCTTCACAATTGTTTGAAGACTTTTGTTCCCAAGGAAAGTCCACCTTGTTCAACGCTGAGATCCTATGACGTTAGTGGCAGTTTCTAAACTTCCGTTCTTATTTTCAGATTGGGATAGCCACACCTGATATATGAGATTATTTTGAGAATAAAGTAAGAATATGTATGCCAGGCACAGCATTCAGAAAGCATCCAGCTCGTGAGAGTCCCCAGAATGACCCAGTTTTTTCTAGAGCCACCAGGTGGCATCAGACTCATACCAATGCTGATCCCTAGCTCACCAGAATAAGGAAGGTCTCCATCCCCAAACCCTGACTACGCCACATTCCGTCCTGGGGATCCATGAAGGCTGTGCGACCTCCAGGGGGCGAATCCCACTGTGCAAGACACTGAGGACTTGAGACTGGATGCTGTCCCCACAGAGAAGAGGACAGAATGGGGAGCTGTCTAGATGTCCCAAAGAAACAGACAAATAGAGTGGCCCCTCTCCATTCATATTACTAAGCCTTCCCTACCTGTCATCACCTACCAAAAATCAACTCAGAATGGACCAAAGACTTCAATGTAAGGGCTGGAAACGCAGCCACAGGGGACACTGCAAGAGCGAGGTGTGAGTGGTGGCTGCAAACGCTCCAGTAACCTGGGGGTGGGACGTAAAGAATTGAAAAGTGGGGTAGCATTAGATTAAAAGGCTTCTTAAGAGTCAACGAAACTGAACAGGAGAGACAGGTAAAAGGGGAGAGGTAGAGAGAATGGGAAAGAACAGGCCCACTGATCAGCCTTTTAGACCAGGCAGTGGTGACACACACCTTTAATCCAAGGCTCACACTAGTTTGCCATAGAAACTGGTGGTAAAAGCCGGGCGATGGTGGCGCACGCCTTTAATCCCAGCACTCGGGAGGCAGAGGT